GTCAACAGGGCGGGTCCAGGGCTGAGGGTCGATGGGGGCCGCTGGCCTAGGGTCGACGGGGCGGGCCGGGGGCCTAGGGTCGACGGGGAGGGCACCGGGGCCTAGGGTCGATGGGGCGCCGGGGCCTAGGATCGACGGGGCGCCGGGGCCTAGGGTCGACAGGGCGGGCGCGGGCCTATGGTCGACTGGGCGGGTCCGGGGCCGAGGGTCGACAGGGCACTGGGGCCTAGGGTCGACGGGACGGGCGCAGGCCTAGGGTCGATGGGGCGGGTCCGGGGCCGAGGGTCGACCGGGCGCGCGGGCCTATTGTCGACGGGGCAGGCCGGGGGCCTAAGGTCGACGGGGTGCGCGCGGGCCTAGGGTCGACGGGGCGCCGGGGCCTAGGGTCGACAGGGGGGGGGGGGGGGGGGCGCGGGCCTAGGGTCGACAGGGCGGGTCCGGGGCCTAGGGTCGACGGGGCGGGTCCGGGGCCTAGGGTCGACGGGGCAGGCGCGGGCCTAGGGTCGACTGGGCGGGTCCAGGGCCTAAGGTCGACGGGGTGCGCGCGGGCCTAGGGTCGACGGGGCGCGCGGGCCTAGGGTCGACGGGGCGGGCCGGGGCCGAGGGTCGACAGGGGCGCGCGGGGCCTAGGGTCGACAGGGCGCCGGGGCCTAGGGTCGACGGGGCGCCGGGAGCCTAAGGTTGACGAGGCGCCGGGGCCTAGGGTCGACGGGGCACCGGGGCCTAGGGTCGATGGGACGGGCGCGGGCCTAGGGTCGACGGGGCAGGTCCGGGGCCTAAGGTCGACGGGGCGCGTGCGGGCCTAGGGTCGACGGGGCGGGCCGGGGCCGAGGGTCGACGGGGGCGCGCGGGGCCTAGGGTCGACAGGGCGCCGAGGCCTAGTCTCTACGGGGCGCCGGGAGCCTAAGGTCGACGAGGCGCCGGGGCCTAGGGTCGACAGACAGGGCCACACAAGGGCGGCGCGCGGGGCAGCAGGAGCGACACGAGGGTCGCTAGGGGCAGCAGGGCGGCTAGTGGGGCAGCGCTGTGGTGGGCCAAAAAAATCGGTCCTAACGAAGGACCTGCTCTGAAACCATGTCAAAATAACGAACAAGAATGAATGAACTATGAAAGAGTTGGGTACAAGTACTAACCCTAATTGGATTGTACCCCTTACGGGCTATAGTGGGGTAGCGGATCCTCGCCTAGCAGCTGCTTCACCCGAAAGACCCAATTTGCCCTCGACAAGGTTGGCATCGGCCAGGAGGGGGACATCAACAAAGGAGTCGTTGCGAATGAAGGCCTCACACTCCAGGAAGATTGCTGCAATCCACCTGTCTGCATCAAGGCAGGCGATGGCCTCTTTAAAGGTGGAGGGAGTGAAGATGGTGGGGGTGGAGGTGGCGCCAAGGACAGGAAGGCCAAGGAAGTCAAGGAAGATGGAGGCAAGGAAAGGAGTGTGGTGCCGAATGTTGAGGAACTCCTCATGGGATTCCTCAAGGAGCTGAATGGAGGCGGGAGGAGGGGCTCCAAAGACCTTGTCAAGGGAGCGAGTGTGCATGCGAGGGAGGAGGAAAGGAGAGGAGCGGGAAGTTGCTCGGTGCTGCTGCCGCTGCTGCTGCTGCTGTTGCTGGACCTGCTGCTGCTGCTGCTTCCCTTGATGCTGAGTCGGCTGCTGCTGCTGCTGCTGCCCCTGCTGCTGTGCTGGCTGCCACTGCTGCTGCTGCTGCTGGCCCGGCCGTTGCAGAGAGGGGGGGGAGTGAGAGGAGGAGGGAGAGGGGGGAGGGGGCGCAGCGGAGTGAGCCAGGGAGGCGGGTGCGGTGGGGTCATAGACGTCAGCAGAGGAGGACGGAGGAGTGGAGCGGCAACGGGGGGGAGGAGAGGAGAGGGAGGGAGGAGAGGTGGGAGGACAGTGTCAGTCCAGGCTAGGGGGCGAGAGGGAGGAGGGAGAGGGTCAGGAGGAGTGGAGTAGTAGGGGGTGGACTCGTCGAAGACGACGTCAATGCTGCGGATGAGGCGGTTGGTGGGAGGGTGGAGGAACAGGTAGCCTGGGGAGTCGCGATTGTACCCGAGGTAGACGCACTCAAGGGCACGGGGGGCGAGCTTGCCAGCGGCATGGGAGCGATCGGCCGGTGGATGAGGACGAAGGACATGCAGCCCCAAACACGAAGGCCGGCAGCGTCAGGCTTGGCCTTAGACCAGAGTTCTGTGGGGGAGGAGGAGGGATGCTGAGGGTGGGAGCAGAGATTGAGGAGGAGGGCGGCATGGAGGAGGGCATATCTCCAAAGGGAGGGAGGGGTGGAGGCGTGAGCAATGAGGCAATGGGCAATTTTGGTGATTTCGCGGATGCGACTCTCAGCAATGCCATTTTGCTGAGGGGAGTGGGGAAGGGTGGAGGTTTGCTGAATGCCATGAAGTTTGCAGAAGGTGGCAAGGGTGTTGTTGATGAACTCACCCCCACCGTCAGAGTCAAGGCGGCCAATGGGGCGTTTGAAGTGATTGCGGCACTGCTCAGCCCAGTTGATGGCAACAGCCGGCACCTAGTCTTTGGTGTGAAGGAAAAAGACAGTGGAGTACCGACTGTGGTCGTCAACGAGGACGAGCATGTACTGGTGCCCCTGACGGGAGCGGATGGGATAGGGACCCCAGAGATCCATGTGGACAAGGTCAATGGGGGCGGCAACAAAGGTGGGATGGCTGTGATGGGGGGATTGCTTGAGCTTGCCATGAATGCATGATGGGCATGGGGGAGCAGGAGAGGAGGGGAGGGGAGGTAAGGTGGGAGGGAGGATGTGAAGGAGGCGAGAGGTGACAGTGGTGCGAAGTGCGACGAAGTTGGGATGGCCGAGTCTGTGATGCAGAATGACTGCTGGGTGGGAGAGGGCAGTGGAGGAGAAGGGGGAGGGGGTGGAAGAAGAGGTGGGGAGGGAGGGGAAGTGAAATAGGGGAGGGGGATACCTGAGGGGGAGGGGGAGGGGGAGGAGGACTGGTGGAAGTACTAGCACGAGTGGTAACATGACAGAAAGAGGGACGGGGTGTGCGGAGCGTGTAAAGGCGAGTGCGGGGGCAAAGGGGAATGCGCAGGAGAAAGCGACCAGAGGAGGTTTGGTAGAGATCACAGTAATTGGCAAAGCCGGGGTAAATGGCGGTAATGCCGACACCTTGGAGTTCTCGGTGAGAGAGGAGGTTGTTGCGAAGGGTAGGAATGTGGAGACCTGTGACCCTACCGGAGGGGAAAGCGGTGCAGGGGAGGGTGGAGAGGTGAGTGCATGGGATGGAGAAGCTGGAGTCAGCACCATGAACCTGGGTGGGAAGTGGGAGGGGGGTGAGGGTGCCAGCGTCTTTGAGTGCGGTTTCTGTGGCCCCACTGTCAAGGACCAAGTCCAAGGTGGGGGAGGAAGGGAGGGGAGGTGACACGGGGTACTGGAATGACGTTTCATTGATAGCAAAGGGATACATGGAAGCAACGGATACAGCAATATGACCAAGGAAACTGCCCTGAGAGTCAGGGACACTCGGGGGGGCAGAGGGAATGGAACCCCAAGGGGGGGGATCAAGGGAGGCATGAGCGGCCATGGCCGCTGCGCCAAAGGTCATCGGCTGCTGCTGCCACTGCGGTGGAAGGTACTGCGGCGGCTGCCGCTGCTGGAAGAACTGCTGCTGTGGGGGCTGCTGCGGCTGAAAAAGCGGCGACTGCTGCTGCTGAAGAAACTGTGGCTGCTGCTGCTGCGGGAAGTACTGCTGCTGGTGTTGCTGAAACTGCTGTAGCTGGGAGGGGAGGGAAGGGGTGAGCAGACGGAGGTGAGCGGGGAGGAAGGAGGGGAGGGTTTGAATGTCCACGAGGGAGGGGCGAGGGGTAACACTGTTCCAGCAAGGAGGGGTACCAGTGTAGTCGCGGTCGAACTAGGCGTCATCAAGCGCCTTGAAGCATGTGGCGGGGGGGTGGTTGGTCTGACCACACGGCGTGCCGGCGTGGGGACCATGGCGGCGAACGTACGTGCAGGCGGGAAGAGTCCCAGGGCAACCACCACCACGGCTCACAGCTCCACCAGCACTAGAGGAGCCTCCGGGAGTGGGGCCACCAGGACCACCACCACCACCACTACCACCACGGCCACCACGACCACTACCCCGACTGCTACCTCCGCCCCCTCCACGGCCCCCTCCGCCGCCGTTGCGACCACCCTAGCTGCGCGGCTGTGTGGCATTGAGGGAGGTGGAGGAGGAGTGAGTGGTGGTGAGGTTGACAATGGGGGTTCGGAGCTTGACCTCCGTGTCAATGATCCACTGCGTCACTTCGGGGAGGCCAACCAAGGGGTTTGCCTCGGTGAAGGCGTGAAGGCGGGACTCATAGTCCGGCGTGAGGTTGAAGAGCGGACGGTGGATCTGCAGGGGCTCGGAAAGGGCAGCCTGGCGAGCGGCAAGGCGATTGGCGACCTCCTGCATGCGCCCGACATAGTCGACTGCGCCGTCACAGGTGGCAAGGGTGATGGAGAAATAGTCCTGGAACAGAACGCCAACAGAGCTGATGTCGCGACGCTCGAACATAGACTGAAGCTCGGTCCAAATTAGGTGAGCGCGCATCTCGCGAGCTTGGAAGCGGCGCATGAGAGCGTCGGGGAGTGCACCGAGGAGGATGGTGCAAGCGCGGTTGTCAGCAGCGGCCCAGGCGATGCTGTTGGGGACATAAGCCGCCATGGAGGTGTTGTACTCCGCAATCAGCTCCAGGCGAGTGGCACGCTCTGACGATGCAAATTCGTAGTTGAGGACAGCAACGTCATGGTCGGCCTTGCGGATGAGATATTCGCGGCGGTTGTGGGGGAAGGTGGCTTCCGCAGCAGCCTGAAGCTCGGGGGCGTCAGTATGAGCAAGAATCCGGGCATGAGCATGGGCATGAGCAGCAGAAGCAGCAGCATATTCAACCGGGCGGAGAGGGAAGTGTGACGGTGGGCGACACTGCAGCAGTAGGGAGAGTGGAGTCTCCAGCAGAGCAGAGTGACCCTGTGGCTCGTCTGCACGACATGTCCCTTCAGCAACTGGGACTCACGCCGCAGTACCGGTATGTGTGCAGGAGGGAGGGCGACGCTGCAGCAGTAGGGAGAGTGGAGTCTCCAGCAGAGCAGAGTGACCCTGTGGCTCGTCTGCACGACATGTCCCTTCAGCAACTAGGACTCACGCCGCAGTACCGGTATGTGTGCGGGAGGGAGGGCGACGCTGCAGCAGTAGGGAGAGTGGAGTCTCCAGAGCAGAGTGACCTTGTGGCTCGTCTGCACGACATGTCCCTTCAGCAACTGGGACTCACGCCGCAGTACCGGTATGTGTGCGGGAGGGAGGGCGACGCTGCAGCAGTAGGGAGAGTGGAGTCTCCAGCAGAGCAGAGTGACCCTGTGGCTCGTCTGCACGACATGTCCGTTCAGCAACTATAACTCACGCCGCAGTACCGGTATGTGTGCGGGAGGGAGGGCAACGCTGCAGCAGTAGGGAGAGTGGAGTCTCCAGCAGAGCAGAGTGACCCTGTGGCTCGTCTGCACGACATGTCCCTTCAGCAACTGGGACTCACGCCGCAGTACCGGTATGTGTGCGGGAGGGAGGGCGACGCTGCAGCAGTAGGGAGAGTGGAGTCTCCAGCAGAGCAGAGTGACCCTGTGGCTCGTCTGCACGACATGTCCCTTCAGCAACTGGGACTCACGCCACAGTACCGGTATGTGTGCAGGAGGGAGGGCGACGCTGCAACAGTAGGGAAAGTGGAGACTCCAGCAGAGCAGAGTGACCCTGTGGCTCGTCTGCACGACATGTCCCTTCAGCAACTGGGACTCACGCCGCAGTACCGGTACGTTTGTGTTAAGGCACGGCCGAGGAGGATAGGAACCACCAGGACACAGGGGACCACCGGGGCCACAGGGGACCACCGGGGGCACAGGGTGCACCGGGGCACTGGGTGCGCGTGTATGCAGTGGGGAGGAGGAGGGTGGTTTCTGAGCCGCTTAACCACCCCAATACTTCCCTCGCCCCCTCACCCCCTTCCTTGAACACCCCTTGCTTACGGCAAGCAGGCACACAGGGACGGACAATACGGGGACAGCCCACGTGACAGAGAGAGTGCGAGTGTATGCAGCAGGGAGGAGGATGGGCACGGGCATGGGGCCGACACTGGCAGAGGCGAAGAGAGACGGAGCAGCCAAGGCACTGCTCGCATGGGGTAAGGTGTTTGGCGAGGAGGGGGGGAGTGAGGGAGCAGGACGCGAGGTGGGTGAGAATGCTGAGGAAAGGATCAATTAAGGAAGGTACCACCCTAATCGATCTCATATTGTGGTGATTCCGGAATCGTATGATGTGGTTGTTCCGGGATTCGGATCGTTCTTGGGCACAGCTCATGGATTGCCTACCGTAATGCAAAGCATTCCGCGCTGCAACTGTGTTTATTGGGTGATTTGGTATCCAGAGCCTGAGATTGATCACAAGTTGAGTTGAGGGAGGTTGCAAGACGTGCAGGATTGAAGGCTTTAGCGTAAGATGGAAGGTACGGTGTCAGCACAAGATTGAATCCTGCTCCCACACAACAGGCAAATTATGACTACGAATCAAACTAGAGCAAAACACATGGACAAGGTTCAAACTATCAAGCCTTTTAATCATGCTATTCATCTCATGCTTATGACAGCAACTCCGGCTGAGCCCTCACTCCCTCGACAATCCAACAATGCTTGTTCATGAATGTCAGAATTATATTGTTATAACTGCATGTAGTTCTAGCTGTAGTGTAGTTATCCTAATTTCTTGCTTGGTGGTGTACCCCCTTTCCTCCCCTATTTGTACTTCACTCTCTATAGTGAAACTCCTCTTTCTTGCTCCAATTCACTCAATAGTCATGCCTAGCCTAAACCCTAGGATGGCTGAAAAAAATCATTTGTCAGTCATTGAGGTTAGAAAACAAAGCCCCAGAACAGAATGAAAAAAACTTACCGTCGACGAAAACATTGACATCTCCTTTTAGCAAATTCTGTTCAGACAGATCTTACAATCAAACAACAACGTTGACACACCAAACATTTTTTTTTACAATAAAATAACAATGTTCAAGAAAATGAAATTGCAAGAAAACGTACAAGTGAAGTAGATGATTCATCGTGTTGAATCGTACGAAACGCCATGATTCCTTTCCAACGTCATTGAGAAGATGTGACTTGCTATCCTGATTCAATGCCACGGGAAAAAGGATGAACGGATGGGAAAGCCAGTTTGAAATGTGACGCGGTAACATAGTAGGGGACGTAAGCAGTGACGCGAGATGAGAGAGACTTCAAGGAACTAAACAAATAATCGTCAAAATCATGGTTCTAGTTACGAAAGACGAGTTAGAACAAGAATGTAATTAATGACAAACGAAGACTGCCGGGTAATATAGTGATTTAAGGGCGTAAATGTTAGTTGAAGTGTTGAACAGAATTAACAAGTCGAGCCTAGTTACTGGGAGACACAAGAGCAGAGCAGCAAATAACAAAGTGAAGAACAAAAGGTGACGAGAGAACAACGCCTTCTTCTAGCAACAAGTTTGGATCGTTTTACGGTATGGATGGGTTATAGTAGTTTCGTATCGGTGATCGAGATGGGGTTCACACCATGAAGTGGACCTCACAGGTGGTTGAATATTTTAGTTCTGTGGTGGACCTTTGGCAGTGACGCGAATTCTTTTAGTGCACGTGGACGATTTCGGCACTGCTGGCAGGTGCCACGTATTTCCTTTCGCGACACGTGGCGCGAAATTTTGATTTAGTAGATTTATATTTAAATTGGAGGTATAAAATTCACATCTGCTCCTAGCGCAGTGGTCTTGTACTTCAGATATTTTACGAAGGTGGTGAGTTCGATTCCCGATGAGGTTCTTGACGCTAAACACAAAAGCAATATTTTGTTTTGTTGTACTTGTTTTGAGTGCCAGTTTTTGTAACAAACAACTACTGGTAACATTGTGGGATTATGATTACCACCAACATTGTGGTGTACTTATATTTCGTAATGAAATATTCCAGAAGGGTACAACACGAACGAAAATCATAAACAAAATCTACACCCAACGCAATGGAACTGACATCGACGGGCATCGAACATGCGTCTTCTGATCGCGTCACAGTTCTAACCTTCCCAGGCCTGGGCAGATTACGGCACAATTCACTTTTGGGACATCTTGAAATGTAGCACAAAACCGCCTGAAGACGAAAATGTCCCGAAAGTGTCTTTCAAGATAGTTTCGGGACGGATTTGTGTCTGTTCTGGGACAGAATGGTTTCGGGACAGATTGGGAACCACGCAATTTTGGTGATGAGTGAGGGTGCGAATCTGACTCCCAGTCTGCCTGTGTGCGGAGGGAGACGGAGTCTTGGCCTGCGACGAGCAAACGATTTGGACGGAGCCGTCCGGAAGCAGCAGAAGCGCCGGCTCGACGCACGGGCCGTGCTTCGAGGGCTCCCGCCGCGGCGTGCTTCGCGCGCCGCCGCTGCTCGGCGCGCGAGTGGCGCACAGCACGTCACGCGTCAGCCGCGACCACGCGGAGAATTTCGGCGGGAGAGGCCGCGGCTCCGCGCTCGCCGCGCCCGAGGACGAAACCAATGTCCGACGCTCCCCGTCGGAAGTTGTCGCGAAGGTGGAATTGGCGAAAATCGGCGAAGAAGACGGAGCCAATCTTGTGTCGTTGCGTCCGCACATGGCGGCCACTTCGAAGCAACAGGGCTGTTTAGAAACTTCGCAATTTCCCGAATTGGTATCGAAGACTAGTAGTACGGGTTTGCTGAGGGAGGAAGCGGGCTGACAATGCCGCAGAGTTTCGAGATTGACCCAATCTTCTCGGAGGAAGCACAGGAGAAGAGGCAATGCTACATCATTTCGGGCCCCCCACAGTACGAGCAGGCGGGCTTGCTGCCGAGGAAAGCCATGCGCTCCCCCACCTGAAGATTTAAACCATTCACCCGGATGAGCACGTCACGTGGACGGCTGGGAAAAGCCAACGAATCACGTGTCGCCACCACCCGTTTCCAATTGATGTGCCTCCCCCATCGTGCAGCCCTCTTCTCCTGCTTGTACATCCGACTACGAGTCCCTTTCCACCCCTCCTTCAACCGCTTCGTGGAAATGACCTGCCCGTTTTCCAAAATGTTCAGCAGGGAGGGCGAGCCAGCCGAGCAGGGGAGAACCGTCCGGAAACCCAGCCACCTTTGCCAGGGAATCGAAGTTGTCAGAAGGGCCCTCATCGCAAGCTTCACAGGCCCACTCCCACCAAGTTGCTGAGAAAAAACCGCCATAGCCTCAGGAACCATCGTGCCGTCCTCCTCCGCCTCCAGCAGATCCCCGAATTGAGTATCCCAAAGGCTCGCCGCATCTTTTTGACCACCCACCGGCATGGTCCCCTTGAGAAGAACTGACTTGTTAAACACCAATCTTTCCCGCAGCACATCCTCCTTGCTCATCACCGGCGCCGTGAAACAGAAAGGCGAACGCATAAAACTTTCCGCTGTCTGCTTCCAGCAGATACTCCTTCCTCCCCAGTGCTTGAGCAGCTTCTCGTGAGCGGTGAACGAGCCAGCGCCCAGCAAGAGCCCCGCCGCACGCACCATGATATCCTTTTTTAGCGGACAAATTTTCGTAAGGACAAGACCCACCCTCCTTACCGCCAGGCAGCTGAGAACGACTTCCGAATCCCTCACCCCGATCCCACTGTCCGCCCTCTGTGTATAGAGCAAATCTTTGCTCCAGAGAATGAAACCCTTCGCCGTCGCCACCCTATTACCCGATGTGAAACCATGCACGAGACGTGAAATATCCACCCATATCTCCGCCGGCGGAGGGTACACCCGAGCCTGGAACGCCAAAAGAGGGGTGATCTAGCTGTTTACCACTGTTGTCCGCGCCAATATAGTCAAAGATTTCAATTGCCACTTTGTGAGCTTCTCCATAATCCGACCCCTCGCCTTCTCCCATGTCGGCAGGCCGTTGGCGGAGGGCGTCACCCAGATGTAAAAATAGTAGCATAAGTAGCATAGTCAGGTTTAAGTTAGGGCCTAGGCTTAGTATATAGGATATAGGATTGTGGCGGCTCGGTTGAGGTAAAGACGGCATGGTATGGTGGTTTTGCTTCGTGGGTTTTGGACAGGAGGTTCGGTTTCGTAGCTCAAGCTGGTTTGGGTGTACAGAAGCGAAAATGTGTTGAAATCTTCTCCAATTGCCCAGACTTTTCTCAAACAGCCAAACATCAGGCATACGCGCTGTACAGTCAGTACACTATATGCTAAGTTATGCCGTTTCGTTGTGTCTCTTGGTGTTGGGAGGGTAGATTTTCGCGACTGGGCAGCATCACCTCACCAAACCAATGTTTGCTTGATTTCACACGTGCCCCCGCCTCACGCATTTTCCGTTTTGACAGGACACGACACCTCCTCTGTCGAGGACCTTGGTCCCCCGGAAACTTCCGTCCCTCCCCCACCCTCCAACACATCACCCTCCCTCGGCTCCCATTTCCCTCCCTCTCTTGAAGGATTCTCGGTGCAGAGCAGACCCGACCTGACCCCCCTCACTCTTCCGCCATCTGCGTAGATTTGGCTGCTGCTACAAGACTGAGTGAGGGACAGCGGGCGGGGCGTAGAGTGGGCTGCGGTTGGGCTGGTGAAAGGGGAAAAAAACACCTCCAGGGGTAAGTGCCAGAAATGCTTTGTCCAGTTTCAGTTCTGTCTGTAGTGAAGCTGGTTGTGAAACACGACGAAGCAGACCATGTGAATCATATCCAGCTAAGGTGCACTGGAATGCTCACTACACGTGAACTTGCTCTGTTGAAAGATCGGCGTTGTTTGATAGGTCGATTTAGATCCAACGGCAATATCCTTGTTGGCGACTGCAGTAACAGTTCAAACCCACATTACAGTGCTGCTGGACACATCTGCTCCATTTATTTTAGTGCGGTTTCGATGGCAACTAAGCCAACACAACACAGTATAACCTCGTGATATACAGATAACCTCCTCAGGATAAGTTATGTGAATCCTTGATTGCCATGAGAGTTAGGGAAATGCCAATCAAGATATGAGTCGCAATTCTCATCAATTGTCGGATGCGGTGGCTCTGGTCGCTGATGTTATTGACGCGGCGAAACATGGCGGCGAGGATTGGTACCTCTTACTTGTCAACTTTCAAAACCTTCGATTTGGTCTCACGCGTCTTCACCTTTAAAGTACTGCGTAGCATGGGTTTCCCGGAGCGGTTTGTGGCCTGGGTGGAAGGCCTGCATGATGGCA